ACAAATGGGTGGCTGACACATTGTTCTTGTATCGTCTCTCTGCAAACCACATTACTGACATTGTTCCAGCTGGTTGCAGCCAGGTGAATTATAACAGCTCTGAGAGCATGGACTGAGTGCAGGATTCAGTGATGTGCACGCCTGTTCACTACAAACTGACCTTCCACAATGCCCCCAAGATGTGAGGTCAGAACTAATAAAATTAACTAACAATTTTACCATGATTCCCTTCCCTGGATTCCCCAGGGTGCCTGGCCTCTCTGTATTGTCCGTTAGGTGTTTGCTGTTTCATTCACACTCCAGCTTCTGGACACTTGTGCTTACATGAGAATCTCTGCTTTTATTTGACAAAAAAAAATAAATTTTTTTTTAAAAAGTCTAGCCCTTCTGGTTGTGGAGAGATGCTTGAAAATGAGACCTGAATGTATCCTAGAGCAATGGTGGGCAACCTGCAGCCTGCGGGCTGCACACAGCCCGTCAGGGTAATCCGCTGGCGGGCTGCCAGACAGTTTGTTTACATTTGCATGGCTGCCCACAGCTCCCAGTGGCCGCAGTTCGCCATTCCCGGCCATTGCAGAGAGCCACTGGGAGCTGTGGGCGGCCGTGCAAATGTAAACAAATTGTCTTGCGGCCCACCAGTGGACTGCCCTGTACGGGTATCACTTCCATTACTCCCTTGCATGAGCTACTCGTGGGAGATCAGGATCTGCTGGGCTACTGCTCCCTTCCCATGCAGGTGAGTGAGAGGTATGCTGGTGGGGAAGGGGACTGACCAGAACTTTGACTCCACTCCTACCCCCAGTGGCTGGCCAGAAAGTTGTGCTGCTGTGGAGGAGATATTAATCTGCGGCGGGCATAGGAAGGGCCAGAATAATGGGTAAGCAAACTAGGCACGTGGCTATGGCCCAAATTCAGTGGGGGTGCCTATATTTTTTAAATGTATTTATTTTATTTAATTGATGCAGATTTGCACACAAAGTGAAAGACCTTCACTCCCCTGCATGAATGGCATTGTGACCTTGTAACGCTGCTCAAACGTGAGCCTTTCAGTTCATGTGCAAATTGGCACCAGTGGATGAGTGGGCAGATAAGTCTTACTCACAGTTGAGACTCGCTTTGCCTTTCCCAACCCCGGCGCCAAGGAGAGAGGAGGGGGCTGGGTAAAGAAACTACTTCCTCCTCCAACCAGATAGGGGCCCAGGTGTGTATGTCTGCCTAGGGCCCAGCGATGGGTCAATCCAGCCCTGGGTATAGGGCTGAATTAGATCACTTCTCTCCGTGGGCAAGGGGAGAACCAGTGAGGTCCAAGTCTCCAAAACCATTTCGCTGGCCTGTCTGAAAGGGATTGGGCGGTCTTACTTATTCGGTGATGACAATGGGTCAAATTTTCAGAAGGGCCTAAATCCCATTTTTAAATAGAATTTAGGCACATAGGACTAGATTTTAAAGGTATTTAGGTCTGCCCCTAGGGCCTAAATGCCATTGACTTTGGGCAATCACACCCTGGCCCTGCTGAACCCAAGCTTCTGTAGCTTTCATAGTTTCCAAGGCCAGAAAGGATCATCTGTCTGACCTCACGTATAGCACAGGCCAAAGAACTTCCCTGAACTGATTCCTGGTTGACCCAGAGCAGATCTTTTAGAAAAACATCCACCATGACCCTTGGTAAGTTGTTCCAATGGTTAATTACCCTCCCTGTTCAAAATTTACACTGTATTTCCAGTCTGAATTTGTCTAGCCTCAACCAGGGGCGGCTCCAGGCACCAGCGCACCAAGTGCATGCCTGGGGCGGCAAGCCGCGGGGGGCGGCCTGCCGGTTGCCATGAGGGCTGCAGTCAGGCTGCCTTCAGCGGCATGCCTGCAGGAGGTCCGACTGTCCCGCGGTTTTGGCGGCAATTCGGCGGCAGGTACGCCGAAGGCGTGGGACCGGTGGACCTCCCGCAGGCATGCCGCCGAAAGCCGCCTGACTGCCATGCTTGGGGCGGCAAAATACATAGAGCCGCCCCTGGCCTCAACTTCCAGCCATTGGATCATGCTTGTGTGGCCCCCGGGAGCTTATACTTGGTGCATATTTTTCGGATGGAAGACCCTCAGCTAGAAGGTTTTTTCCAAAGCCATTTTAAAAGTATCCCAGCCAGATGAGGAGCTTAACATCACGTACAATTCGATGAATAAATATTAAGCCATAGGTTTCCTTACCAGCTAAAGTTTCTCCCAACAAACACCCTTACCTGGAAAATGTTCCCCTGCTTTTCCATTCCGTGGCTGCAAAACAATTTGCATCAATCTCAATGGAAGTTAGTCTGCACTGACAACAGCTGCTGGGCCACAATCCCTCCCACGCCTCTTAACAGGCATTGATGAGATATTAATGCCCTAAACATCAGGATTTGTAAATATCCTACCTGAACAATACTCTGCTGCAACTATACCACAGAAATTTCCCCCAAAACAAATAGCTCTTCTTTCCCCAAACTATCACTTTTCCAAACCGAAGGCACCATCCTGTCACCCTGCCTAGACGACTAACTGCCCGTAACATCACATTTGCTTTTTTAGATTAAGCCATATTTTTTAGAGCAAGCGTATCACTCCAAGCACCTGGAATTTCTACAATCGCTGTTGTTTATGCTTGGTAACTTCCAGACAGCTTAGCTGGGGCTTAATGCACTTTTAAGAGAATTGGCTTCTGGGTTGGCAATTGATGTATACAGTTTTCAGCCCAGTTGAATAGAAGCCCTAAAGCAGCTAAGCCCGGAAATTGGACATGTGGGAATGAGGGAGGGTGGGGGGAGAGGATGAAGCTGCCTCCTGGCAAATAATGGAAAGGGGAAGGTGTCTGCAACTGCTTTGGCCACCCCAACCCACTAGATGAGGGGTCTCAAACTCAAATGACCACGAGGGCCACATGAGGACTAGTACATTGGCCTGAGGGCCGCATTACTGACACCTCCCCCCCGCCGCCCTCGGCCCCGCCCCCACTCCAACCCTTCCATGAGGCCCTGCCCCTGCCCCGCCTCATCCCACTCCTTCCCTGCCCCCATTCCAACCCCTTCCTCGAAATCCCCACCCCAACTCCGCCCCCTCCCTGCCCCCAGGGGGTGCAGGAGGGGTGTGGGGTGTGGCAGGGGTTCAGGGCAGGGAGTTCGGGTGTGGGGTGCAGGAGGGGTGAGGGGTGCGGCA